TAGATGTTGGCACCAGTGATATGTGCAGTATATTGTAAAAGACAAATCCATGCCACTGAGAGTACATTTATTTATTTGACTTATATATAGAGTTTCTTTCCTATCTTCGTGCCTCTTGAACATAGAAATCAAGGTCATATATTGAATGAATGCTTTGTGAGAAATAATCTTAAATTTTTCACTAAATGTTGGAGAACTTACTGACTTTTTTAGACTTTATTATGCTGAGTAAATGATTAGTACTTCATGGTATACAGAGTACTTTGTGGAGTAGCACGATCATTCTGTACTATATATTTCCTCAATTATAAGAAAAAATAAGAACATTTCCTTTTTCTGAATGTAGTTCTTTTCAGAACTGAATTGCCTCCTTGATTCCAAGACGGCAGTGACAGAAGCAGTATGAGGTAAATGGAGATGTCTGTGGGACTATGGGATAAAGGAACCATCCTGAAGTCTATTTCACCTACAAATAATTATTTTCAACATGTCTGGTTCTTTATCAACTGTCTCAGAGTTGATTCTTAGAGAATCCTACTATTACAACTATAAGACTATAGGAAATCTGAACAACTTTTTGCTCTTACATCTATTCTTACTGAAGATTCTTTATCTGATAATATATCTAATCTGATAAAATAATTCTCAAGTACAAATATGATTTTTAACGTGCGAATTCTTGATGTATTTGACAGTAGCATTAGCTCCAATTTTTCATGCCTGTAGTTCATGCTGTCTGATAGGCCCCATATTCAAATGTCAAAGGCAGTGCAATCAAAAAACTCTTATACATACTTTGCACACCTATGCACTCTTATGCAAAGAGAATCTAGAAGTGTAAGTTTATGTGGGAAGAGCATGTCTTCTCCTTTAAGGACACCTGATCAAAGAAGCCACAAAGCGGAACATGCAGAGACAAATCTGCCTGACACATAAGGGAGAGGTCATATTCTCAGCGGCATGAATTGGTAAGAGTATGTGGGATGTGGAATAGCTTTTTTTCAAATGGGAAGATAAGGAAAGGGAGGGACACAGACAATGACAAACCAACCTGGTCAGTGACAATAATTCATGGGCTATCAAGGAACTGCAGGCAAAGCGGCACTTTGCAGCTGATAAGGATGAAAACTTGGGTGTCATATGTATCAGAAGGGGTGATGGGACTGTGTCAGCTGATGAGTCAGTGTGTAGGAGAAGGGGAGCAGGGGAAAAAAGCAAAGGGGATCAGCAGAAAAGCACCAGTTATGTGTAAAACATTGCCAGTGAGTATGTCCTTTTGGCTGAGCCCTGCACCTGATTGATGAAGTCTGTCCTGTCTCTCATATCCTACTGTGCTTTATCTTGTCTCTCTTTCTGTGTAATCTCACTCTCTATCCCAAGTACGTGTCCTGAAAGAACTCAATACCAGCTTCTGGCGAGGCCTGTGTGTGTGTGAAATTTGTATCAGGCATTGGAGTCAGACCTGGACTGTGGGCTCCCCTGAACTGTGGTGTCAGCTGCTGGGGCCACTGGGCCCAGTGAGTGAGTGAGCAACAGGAGTGAGTGTGGATCTGTAGACCCCAGACAGTGGAACAGGAATTATGTGTGTTCCAAAAACCATCTACTGAGGGGAACAGGGTGAGTGAGGTGAGTGAAGGACCTAGTACTGCCCACTTGGGCCCTTAGCACAGCCTCTATTCCTATTCCGGGCCTCTGGTGGTCTAGTGGTTAGGGTGCAGGACTCTCACCGCTGCGACCCGGGTTCGATTCCCAGCCCCCCGGGCAGATGGAGCTTGTAAGGCAATCCATCTAAGAGAAGGTCACTCTAAACAAACCTACGTCCTGGGGGCCTCACTACCACTGTCCAAGTTTCCTTGGCCCCGGCAGATGAACCTCAGGATTAAAGGGTGGGCTCAGTTCAGCGCACGCTGTGTCTCACCTAAAAAATCCACTGCGCAGGCTCGAAGGGTTAATGACCTTTCCCAAATCTTCGCTCGCGAAGACTGGCCATTATTCCTATTCCAGCTGCTGGGCGGTGACTGTATTTTTGCCAAACTGTCTTTGTGTGTGATGTGTGTATTCACAAACTTTAATTTGTGCTTGCTGGACAGTAGGGGCTCAGGTCTCAACAGGGGTGTCAGTTGCTGACACGGTCTATGCTGGTATTCAGTGGGAGACCCACAAGCGTGGGGTGCCTGTGGGACAAGCGTCTGCCTGCTGCATGTTTGTTGTGAGCACTGAGCTGGACCAGCTGTAGAGTAGGGGACCTGTGAAGTGGTTAAGAGGGGCTAGAATCTGGACAGGGATGACAAGTAGTCAGGAGGTCTGTGCTGGTACCCAGGAATCCACAAATGTGTGCTTGTGATTCTGGAAAATTCATGACTTGGTTGAACCTGCAGAGGACAGTGGCAGCTGTGTCCCTTAGCCTGGGCAGAGACGACAGGTTCCTGGGTACTGGGCTGGGCAAGAGGGAGCCCTGGCATGAGCAAATGGAGGAGGCAGACACTCATTCCTTCACATGTAAAAATCTATAAAGAATTTAACCAAATTAATTGCTTCAAGGATCTTAAAATTGAGGTTTATCAAAGAACATTTTGTATTCTGAGACACAGTTTCTTTCAGAATACATTTTAATTCTCAGTGAAACCAAAATTTTAGAACTCTGAATATTTTTAAAGATAATTCAATAGAAAAGAAAATCATATCTACCTACAGTCTGATCCCAAGTCATTTGTGAGTATTGTAGTTAATGCATGGCAGACATGCTAGGCAAATTTGAACCATTTTACTTTGTTTTTAATTAAGTGGGGAAGATTCCCTACTCAGTCTTCTAAAATGACACCAAAGCTTGTGTATATACATATATATGTATATACACATATATATTTGATTCTTATATCCATAACTCCTTAAAGCCTAGGAATATGGAGAGTTCACTGTTCTGTTTACATATTATAGAATTCTTTTGCTGAATTTATTTACATTTTTTAAATGTTTATAAAATATAATTTATTGCACACAGTATTCAGAGAAGAATGCATTATATTTATTTACAGATATTTTAAGTTATGTAGGACTTTACTGAGGGCATCAAGCCTGTTTAAAGAATCCAAAACATGTGGCTTGCATTGAAAAACTAATCCATTTTCTCTATTTGAAGTATATCATTATAATTTCTCCACAATAGAAATAAGTCATTTGCCTTAGAGCTCGTTTGTTTTGAATGCATGGTGTTTTTTGTGGACTTTGAGTATATTCTATATACTTACTCACATAGAAGATGGTAAATATGAAGCCAGTGAACTGGAAAATCAGAATAACTACAGTACTTAGAGCATAATATTACTGCCCAGTGGGATTTTTATTAGCCACTAGCTGTAACAAAAACTACTGCAATATGATTTATAGTACATATAATTTTAAGCATTCAGTAGTATTTTATGACCATCAAGAAAAGGTTCATAATTTTTACATAGCTGCATGGTGGTGCTCAAAATTTCTTTCTATGGAAACAAATCAACAGACTGGAAATTAGTTTCCATGGATTGAAAATGGCTCATTTAATCTGAAGAAATTGATTCATAAAAGTCAGGGACATAAACAATCAAATGAGTTTAATCAAATGTTTAATCAATAATAATGCTGAATTTAAAGCATACATCAGGTGATTCAAATGAACATTGCTACAGGAGGTACAAAGTTATGAATGATTTGCCACTTGAGACACAAACTACAACTCATTCTAAGTGAGACAAGGGATTTTAGGCATTGCTTCTCCTGATGCCTGGGTAACTATTACTTACACCCTTTACTCACTGCATGCTTACTGAAATTAAAATTTAATTCAGACTAAATTTTTATCTCCTTAGGTGCTATTTTACTATAGAACTTACAGAAAAATACAGATTCACTGTTCTTAAAGGTGGCAAATAATCTATTTCATGAAAATAGAGCTCCACGCAGAAGCATGTTCAGCTATTTAAATATCTTAGGTCTAAATTCCTACTTCTCACTCATATGCTTGTAATGCCCTTATTCTGCTGTTCTCTTTCTATTCTGCTGTTAAAAAGAACTTCAAAACATTGACAGATTCTGGGAATTAAAGCCTTTAAATACCAATTAACTTCTGACCATGTAGGGTGACACACTACACCATCATGTTCTATAATCTTATAGATTCTAAAATGCTGAAATAAGCCTAGGGTAGAATATCAAGAGAATATAATGGTAAAAGTAGGATTAGCCTTTTCAGACTAGTGTCATATATTTCATGTAATTGTAAGCTGGGCTCTTAAATAGAAAATATTTTGCAAACCATGCCTTTAAGGAATCAAAGACAACTAAAAAAAAAAAAGACATAGGAATTTCTTATTCAAAAACATTGTAATGGCTTAGCATCAATGAATCTTTGAGATATGTTTCTATATAAACACATCTCTTCTTATTACTGGAGCCCTGTACCTGTACTCACATGAATGCCTCCAATTGAGAGGGGAGGAAAAAAAAAGAAACCTTATTTCGCTAGATAAAAAGCACAAGAGTCTACTCACGAAGGAGCTGAGAACTGAGACACAGTGACTTTCAAGAGAGACAGTTGACTGCCAAGCAGGAATGCTCTCAGAATTGACAGATTTCTACGCAGTTTCTTATTGGAAACTGATGGCAGGGAATGACATCACACCAAAAGCACTAAAAATACATCATGCAAAAGAGAGCTAGCTAGTCCATACAACAGTTGGTCTAAACAGGGTCACATCAAAGTCCCAGATATGATGTTTGAGACTACCAATCAGCTCAGCTGACACAAAAAAACCCCACAGTTTAATTTATGTGACTTGTAGATTAACAGAGATATTGATCCAAGAGGGAATACCAAGATGGTCTGTGGCAGGAAGAATGTAACAAGGAACCATGGGAGTTGTGGTCTCAGACAATACTTGATTGTCATTGGTTAAAAGGTCATGTGATATGTTCAAGTGTGGTATTTAAACCTAGGCAGTTGGAATAAACGGTAATTCTGCTGTGGCACTCGTTCCTGTCTGAGTGGGGTTTGTACCTTGAACAGCACCTCAAATGGCCGTCCGATAAGGGACTTCAGCAGGTTACCGGCAACCAGGAGCAGCAACTCTGGGGAACCTGTACGGGGGTGTCCATATCGCCAAAACCAAAAGGAAGAAAAGAAAAAATTCAGCGCACTGGGTTACCTCGGCAAAAAGGAACAAAAAAGAAAGAAAAAAGGACCAGAAGAAAGGACAACAGAGCTTCAGCACAGAGGTAACCAAAAATTGGTGAATATGGGAGGGTGGTTTACCTGTCAGGAGGGAATTACTCCAAAAATCAAACAAACAGCTGAAGCTATCTCTCAACTTTTACAAGAACAGAGTATAACCATAGAAGAAAGTAAGTTATGGGACTTGTTATATTGGATTTCGTTGCATGAACCTGCATTACCTCTAACTGGACCTTATCAAGTATCATCTTGGAGGAAAATAGGGAACAAGATTATTGAAAAAAACAGTGAAGGAAAAACAGACGCCCTCAAGAATTTAGCTACATGGAAGGACATTATGATAGCTTTAAATAAGCACTACAGAAAGGCAAATGCACCTGGGAGAGTGGACTCCCCCCCCCTCACTCCTTTCCCCTCAACCCCCCCCTTCAACCCCAGCCCCCCCACCGACTGAGTGGCGCGTGGGGGGGGATGTACATTGGACAGGGGGGATGGGGGGAAGGGGGAGCCCTTGGGGGGAACGGTGCAGTGGCAATGTGTGGTGTGGAGGAGCATGACTTGGGGGGTGGCAGCATGAGCATGGCAGCCAGGGGGGATGCTGGCTTTGTGCCAGTGCCCATGGCTGCAGCTGAGACCATGCCATACAGAGCAGCAAGCGGTGCTGCTGGAGCCAAGGACCGTTACAGAGCAGCGTCTACCCCTGGACCGTTACGGGGTGACCGTTACACGGCAGTTGCACAGTCAACGTGCAGAAGGAGAGTGGCACCGGAGGCACCGCCATGTTGCCCCTGCCGTGCGCTGAAAGTGAAGCTGTCACCCCCAGGTTCAGGCGTTTCGCCGGGAAGGGGGGAGGATGACTATGATGGACAAATAGACGGCGAATCTATAGAGGACACAGAAGAGAATCTGATAGCTCCCTTTAGCCAGGGCAGCCCGCTAACACCCTTTGGCTGAGCAGCGGCCATGTTCTGCGGTTGCAGAACAGCCACGCAGCAACATGGACACAGCAAGCTTACTCCGGCCGTGAGGCGGAAGTGAAAGTGCCTCTTCCGACACCACCAGTTCAACCAACTCACAACAAATGCACAACAGTTAAAGCATCACTGTGGCTCTCCTACCAAGAAACCAACCCACAGCCCTCACCAGCCTCAGAACAGCTTCTATGCCGAAGATGGCCTGATAGGGGAGGAAGAAGAGATATTGACTCCCTAGAAAGCTTACCTGAGCTGTGGCAAACTGAACTCAGCGAGACAAGAGAACCAGAAAAAAGACAAGCAGTTTTGAATCCTGCAAAAGAGGAAGAACAGCAAACATGGCTACAGCTACTACTTCAGCTCGAGGAAGAAGATGCAGACTGGGAAAGCACACAGAACATCTGCCTACCCAAGCCCAGACCATCAGCAAAGTCGAAGCTACCGACGTTGAAGTGGTCAACACGTGTACTGACTGCGTTGCTGGCGATGACAGCTGTTGGTTTTGTACTGCGAGAATTTCAGCTGGGACAACACCATCCACCTCCTGACAGAATCAACAACCTAGAGGTAACATTGCAAAACACAGCAGACATACAGCTATCAGCTACCATGTTTAATTTCCTAAGTCACAAAAGGACAACTTTACTAATTGACAGATTATCTGCTATTATAAAAAGTTCTTCTGTGTTACAGGGGGTAAGAATAATAATAAGAGGGGCCCCAAATCAAGTATTTACTTCTCACTATTTTAAAATGCTGTTAGACAATATGCCATATACAACATGGAAAGCCAAACTTAAACAAGTAGTAAACAAACAACCAGTTACAATTTCAACTGCAGAAACACATAACTCTTTATGCACAGTAACTGCAAGAGCCTTGAGAAAGCAAAACAAACAAAACCCTCATACAACACAAGCCCAAAGATGTTCCACAAAGTTGCAACATAAAACAATACACACCTCTAAATCCACTCAAAACACAAACATGCAAAGATACCACTGGACAGTACTGCCTCAGGGCATGAAAAACAGCCCGATGATTTGTAAGACAGTGGTAGCCAACATCATACACCCTGTTCGAAAACTCCACCCTTCAACCATCATCTATCCTTATATAGATGACATCCTGATAGCAGCAAAACACGGGACCGAACTACAATCCACCTTGACTGCCTTAACTGACGCCATCCAAAAAGCAGGTCTGCAGCTTGCCTCAGAAAAAATTCAACGCACCCAACCTTGGACCTACCTCGGATGGAGGATCACTCAACAGGAAATCATGCCACAACCACTGACTTTCAAAGTAACGGACACTATGACCCTGAATGATTTGCAATGGCTTTTAGGAGCCATTAACTGGCTGAGGCCTGTCTTGGGGATCAAAACAGAGGAATTGCACCCCCTCTTTGAGCTACTTAAAGGTGACCCAACTCTCACATCTATTCGATCCCTAACCCCAGAAGCAAAACAAGCTCTGGAAGTATGCTCCCAGGCCGTCAAAAACAGGCAAAGCAGACGACGACACCCTGACCTGCACATTCGCCTCGCCATCATATCCAGCAAGTTCCAACCTTTTGCTGTCCTTTTCCAAAGGGATCAGGCAGAATCTGACCCTTTGAGAATTCTAGAATGGTTATTTCTTCCCCACTCTCCACCTAAGACTGTTTGGACCATTAATGACATGCTTGCTAAGCTCGTCATGAAAGGTAGAGGATGTCTGCAGGAGATGGATGGAAGGGATCCTGAGACGATCTACATTCCAGCCACAAAAGACAACTTAGACTGGTTTCTTGCAGAGGACGCTGGGTTTCAGACTGCATTAGCGGACTTCCACGGTAATATTTCCATTCACCTCCCGAAACATAAACTCTGGGCGGAAATAGGAAATCTACCCCTGATGGCCACGCGTCGCTGCAAACTACGACCAGTAAATGGAGTCACACTCTTCACTGACGCGTCTGGACAATTGAAAAAAGCCGCCGTGACATGGAAGAACCCTGCCACAGGACAATGGGACAATAAGGTACAAACCTTGGACCAAGGTTCTGTACAGGTTTTAGAACTAGCAGCTATCCGCATGGCATTTGAATTGTTCCATGATCAACCTATGAATGTTGTCACAGATTCTCACTATGCAGCAGGGTTGGTCTCACGTCTCGAAGCCTCCTTCCTTCAAGATGTCACTAATCCTCACTTATTCACAGAAATTCGTACCATATGGTTTCTTATCAACCACAGAAAATTTGATTTTTACATAATGCACACTAAGTCACACACAGAACTTCCGGGACCCATAGCAGAGGGCAATCAAAAAGCTGATGCAACTGCTATGGTAACTACAGTTCCCAAAATTCTGCAACAGGCTAAACTCTCACACCAGTTCTTCCACCAAAATGCACGTTCATTAAAGAGACAATTCCAAATTACAATAAACCAGGCCAGAGACATAATTATGTCATGCTCTGACTGCCAGTGAATTACCCCAATGCCAGCTAAGGAAGGGGTTAATCCCAGGGGCATAACAGCCAATGAAATCTGGCAGACAGACGTTACACATATAGCTGAATTCGGTAAACTAAAAGATGTCCATGTTACAGTAGACACGCATTCCAGATACATTAATGCAACAGCACACACGGGAGAAAAAGCCAAAGACGTCATCAGACACTGGCTCAGTTGTTTCGCAATCCTAGGAATTCCAAAAACCATAAAAACTGACAATGGCCCTGCTTATTGTTCTGAAAAAATCAAAACATTTCTCACAGATTGGGGGGTACTCCATTCCATAGGTATACCGCATTCACCCACAGGACAAGCCATTGTAGAAAGAACTCACCATACACTAAAGGAAATGCTTCAAAGACAAAAAAGAGGGGAGTCGGTATATAGCCCCCAGGAACGCTTATGGAAAGCGTCATATGTTCTAAATTTCTTAAACTGTGATGATACAGACCATAGCAGGTATGAACACCA